GGGCCCCCGCCTACGACGTGGTGAGGCTCCGACGCCAAGCTGGGCGAGCAGCAGCGGGGGCTGGCCCAGGCAGGTGCCTCACCGCCGCCCTCGCTATGGCGTGCGGCGAGGACGACCCCGCCAAGAGCATCCGCAGGCAACATATCGGCTCTTGGCTTACGCTTTGGAGGCGCTGCCCAGAGCTGCACCCGCGCATCTTCCAGACGTGGGGCGGCTTAGCTGCGCGGCTGCGGGCAGCAGGGCAGCGCGAGGGGCGGCTGGTCAAGGGGCCAGTCGGCGCCACCATCGCCGCGCTCCTGGACCTCAACTGGGAGCCCGTCTCGGCCACCCAGTGGGACACCGACGCGGGCAAGAGCTGGTTGACCCCCTCGGCCGAGGGCCCCAGCTTCACGGACATGAGCGGCGACTGCTCGCTGATCATCACGGACATCCAGGATTCGATCGACCGCACCCTGCGGCAGAACGCTTCCAAGCACGAGGCGGGGGACGACCTGCACAGTGGCGGCGACTTCTTTCATGTTCGAAGGGAACAGGACCGCCTCGCCAAGCTAGGCGAGTTCGACCAGGTCGCCCTCAACAACGTGGTCTGCGCTGGAGGGCAATGGCCGCGAGAACGACTACGGGCTGCAGGCTACGACGTCGGCTTGGCTTGCCCAAGGTGCGGGTTCCGCGCGGAATCCCTGTTTCACAAAATTTGGACCCTGTCGGCGCAACGCCGACCGCAGGGACTACGCCGACAGCGACCACCTGCTCGGCAAAGCCATGGCGAACCACGAAGCGTCGCCTGCATTGTGGCTACGCGGCGCCCCGCCGACCGCCGCCACTGTGCCCCTGTACGATGGGGAAGAAGAAATAGTTTCTGAGTTCGGAGCCCCTGAGGAGGTTCCGAGAGATGAGCAGGGCTTTAGAGAATCTTTCGGAGACGGCTCGGGGGGGGGACACAGCGATGACAGGCGTCGGCGACGCGTTGGTTTCGGTTTCCTCGCCTTGGGGTCCGGGTCCAGTGCTCTTGACCCCATCTTCGGCGTCTCGTCTTCCTTGGTCGGCCGAGCCCAGGCTCTGCCCCGAGCCGAGCTCTCCGCCGTTGCGACCCTCCTCGAGAGGGTTTCTGGCAAAGTCCGATTTATCACTGACCACTATTCCTGGCCCAAGTCTGGTCCAAAGGCGTTCGTCGTCATCTGTCGTCGGTTCCGCTCAACACTGACCTATGGGCCAGGATCGAAGCGGCCTCGGTAGGTAGAGAAATTCAGGTTTGCTGGGTCTCCTCACACGTAGGAGAGGACGAAATTCACGAATCGAACCTCCAGCGAGTGGTAGGTAATGAATGCGCTGACGTGTTAGCGGGGATGGGTGCCCAAGCGGGCGCCAACGCGGAGTGCCTCATAGGGCCCTTCCTCCACACTGATCTCGTAGACGCGGAAGCCGCCCTCACCCGACGTCGGGCGCGGAAAGCTCTGGCCGCGTGTATCCAAACCGACCCCTGGACCGCGTGCCGCTTTGAAGCCCTTGTGGGGCCGAGGCTTCCTGTCCTGGTTCGGGCCCTCCAGGCGAGCGCCCACGACTGGCGCAGAGTCGGGAGCAAGTTTTTCTGTAGGGTTTGTTCTCAGTTCGAGACTCGAGAGCCCATTCGTGAGGGGACCCTCACCTATTGTCGATCCAGTCCTGTAGGGACTGGTTTCTCCCCCCTGCGCGGCCCACTGACGGTCGCTGGGAAGATGCTTCGCCCGTCCCACAAGCTCCAGTTCTGGGGACGGTATGGTTTAACGTTTTGCTCGGTGTGTGTGTGTGTGTGGCAAATCGGCCACTTCTGACCCACGTTGGCTCGTTGATCGGTGCACGTCCTCCCCGAAAAGGTGCCCAGAACCTCGCGAGAATTCAGAGGGGCCTGTATCCCAACGTTGGCGGACCACCAAAGCACGTGGTGGATGCCGAGCTGTCCAGACTCGCCGTGTAACCCGTCTGGCTTTCCCCAAGTGAGTACCATTGTCATTCATGCCACGAATCCCACGAATCCTCTCTCTCCTTCCGCCCCCGTGCCCCGTTCCGCTCGGCGGCGGCCCTAGTGCAGCTCGGCCGCATTTCGGATGCGAGGCGCCGCGGACCACGAGAGGGAAGGGTCAGTGTCGTTGAACCGATCCCCATGCCCATCCCCTTCCCCTTTCAGACCCCCACCAAGCTACCACCCCAATTGGGGATGCACCCCTCGAAACCCGAAAGGAACGATCTTTATCCCCATCCAGGGGGGTAAGCCGGCCGGCGGGGCCCAGGCCACGCCGCTGGGGATGTCAGGCGATCGCAAACATGGATCAAGGGGGCGTGGATTAGCGACGGGTCCCGTTTCCATGGACAATCGCGGAGTGTCGCCGCCGAGCGAGGCGGCACCAGCCGCATTCGGGGGAGGGCACGTCCCCCGATCCATGGATTTGGCGACCGCGCGCCAAATCCATGGATTGCTAGTCCATGTTTGCGCGCCCCCGAGGATGGGGATCAGGTAAACGATGCTCAAAGGGCCTTCTGTGGTTCGTGAGGGGAGCTCGCGGTGGCCGGAAAAGGTGCGTCGTTCCTCTTTCAGCGTTCCGATGTTCGCCAAGAAAATACCGAAAGAGGAGGAGGAGGGAGAAGGAGGAGGAGGAGGAGGAGGAGGAGGAGGAGGGAGAAGGAGGAGAAGGCGGAGGAAGAGGAGGAGGAGGAGGAGGAGGAGGAGGAGGAGGAGGGGGAGGAGCGTTCCGTTGATCGCCGGAAATAATATCGAGCGCCTAGATAATACAGAACCTTGAGGGTTTTCACGCGTCGAGCCCTGGGAGGCGATACTCGTGCGACACTGTTTGGATACCTTCCTGTGTGCTCGAAGTTATTTTTGTGATGTGGTCCTTTAGGTACGATGAGAGCAACATTTATTTAGCGTTCCTTGTATGATGGCGCGACGACTGTAGACGGCAGGTGGGAGACAAGACCAGATGGATAGTAGGCAGGACGAACGCGGCTCGGGAGGACCGACCAAAAATCACGTCGTGCGGTCTTTGGTCGCTTCGGGCCTCCAGGGGCCCTCGCTGGGCCTCAGGACCGTCGGGAGTCGACTCGGAAGAAGAAGCCAGTCCTGGGAAAAGGGGTCTGCATAAACCTCTGGGGGTCACGCTCTGAACAAGTCACGACGACGGAGATCTGGGAAGGGGGACATCAGGCGGGTTCAGGACCAGGATAAACCGTTTCAGAGCCTTTCGTAGCGCCCTCAGCGTTCCTCAGCGCTTTGGAACGGCCGCGGCGCCCGATACATCTTTCAGGACAGCTGGATCTCAGAGACCCCCGATTTATCCAGGTTCGACGTTGTCCTCGTCTAGGTTCGTCGGACGGAACGAATGGGATGGGGTGAAGATCGACAGCAGTTCTTGCCATCGTCGTTGCCGCGCGGGCTTTGTTGGTGCGAGCAGAGATGCGCCCGCCCCAGAAGCGGCGGCTTCCGGTCTGGACAGTATTTGCTGGTGGGCATCGTCCCCATTTTTCCGTCCCCGCTCCGGGTGCGCTAAGATTCGGAGGCGAGCCCGGGGGGGAAGTGAGAAGGGGCGGGCCTTCTCAGAAGACTCGAACGTCCCCTGGCCTTCTGGGAAGCTTTCTAAGCCTTTCCCGAAGAAGCATGTAACCTGTCAGCAGGCCAGAGAAACTCCGTCACCTTCTAAGAAGGCCTTCTCCTTCTCACTTCCCCTCCTCGCTCGCCGCCGAAAGTTCAGGGGCAACGTTAGGGGGGGACAAAGCGCATAGTGTGACGCATCGACCCTCAATCGTTCATTCCTCGCCGATGGGTGCCCGATAGTCCACCCCGCCCAGGACCCTGCGGGTCCGCGATCGGAGGCCTATCGCCGATTGCAGCTCGACGTTTCCCCCCCTGAGCTGGTCCCTCTCTAACGTTGCCTCTCACATGTCGATCCGCGCCGCGCCCCGCGGGGCGCGAGGCTCAGGAGGGAAGAAACAACGCAGGCACAACGAATTGTCGATTCCCCCGAACATGTGGGGAAATACAGGATTCGGCGGGGGCGAGGACAAGAACCCACAACATATTGGGACACATGGGGAACCATGTTGGTTGTGTCTATTCATTTGCGTGTCCCAGGGCCTCGTCAGAGGCGCGAGGCTGGGTGCCCTGGGGCCTCAGAGGGCGCCTCCGGAGGCCGCCGCATGACCTCGGAGGCCCCGCGGCAGGGGGCCGCCCAGGGGCCTCCAGAGGTCCTCTGGCCTTCTGCGCCTCAGGATTAAGTCGGGCATGTCCCTCGACAGGAGGAATATTCAAAGATAGTCAAAAAACAGTCAGGGAACTAAGTTCTGACCATTTTTGAACATTTTGGGTGTACTTTTGGAGTATTTTCCATTTTTCGCCCAAGATCCCCCTGTAGGGGGACAGGCCCGACCTAACCTCAGGAGCAGGAAGCCAGCAGAAGCTTGGGTCCTCGATCCCCCAAGGATGTTAGCTGCTTGTGACCATACGCTTTCGGAGGTCCGCGCGGATTCCTGGGTCGGCGCTGGGTCCTGGCGTCGCACTCGCCCGGTGGCGGCCGCAGTCGCCCGCGATGCCGATGCGAGTTTTACCTCCAGGGGCTCCGCGACCCTCGGGTGGGCCAGCCGCGGCGGCGAGATCGCCTTCTTGTCTGGCCCAGGGCGTCCGCACGGGCACCGACCGTTCTGCTTGTCCCGATGTTTGGTTCCCCGCGTGCCGTCTCGTCCCTGCCAGGGTCGCCCTCGATTTCGATTCGATTCGGCTCGGCTCGATTCACCCGCATCTGGCTGGAGCTGGGCGCGGCGATCGGACTTCGATTTGATTCGGGACGAGTCGTTGACGATCCGATGCGTTTCCGATCCGATCCGACCTCGATCTGAAAAGCCAGAGCAGGGCTCCCCACCCCAAACAGACATCCGATCCGACCCGGTCTCGCGATTCGATCCAGTTCAGGCCTGGCCTGCCTGCTGCACACGCGGCGCGCGGTGGCGCCGCCGCCACCGCCCCGTGGGAGGCGATGGAGCAGCAGACGATCTCCATCGCGAAGGCGGGCATAACCACGATGCTGAACACGCAGTGCAGGCGCCTCGCCCGTGGGGTGGGTGGGGGGGGCTGCCTACTCTCTTCATCCTCCCCCTCCACCCCCGTGCTTCTCCTCCGCCTCCCCTCCCGTCCTCCCTCCTTCTACTCCCTCCAGGGCTTAGCTTTCCCCTCCCCCCCCACCTTCAACTGCTCTGTCCCCCCACTCCCCGGGGTGTCGGCGTTTTCTTCTCCAAACCATCCTGTGGTATTCGGCCCTCGTTTTGAATCCCGCGTCACTCCTCACCTGCTCGCCCTCCTCTCTAGCCGACGACATTATCATCCCCATCTTCATCAGCGTTACCACCACCATTATCGTCAACATCCGCATCAACATCAGCATCACCAACATCAACACCAGTAGCATCGGCATCACCCGCCTCCTCCTCCTCCTCCTCCTCGTTGTTCGTATTCTTATTCCCTACATCCAATGTGGGGTTCTTGTTTTCTCTGGACACCCCGCAGGAACAGGATGGAAAGACCACTCTCTTTCCACTCATACACGCACGCACTCACATCATCATCACAGCATCACCATCACTGTCACACTCACTCATACTCGCTCGACCACTCTCATTCACTCACGCACACTCACTCACTCAGTTTTCCCGACTTGCTCACTCACTCGCTCACTCACAACTACTACTCATCACTCATAATCATCCTCCACATTCTCAGTGGTGTTCTTGTTTTCTCTGGACACCCCGCGCAGTCCTGTCACCTCGCCCCCTCTCCTCTTCTGCCTTCGCACGTTCACTCGCTCAATCACTCACGCACCATCATCGTCATCATCATAAAACATTCAGCTCCTTCACCCTTCGCGTACTCACTCACTCATTCGCACTATCATCATGAGGCGGGAGCCTCGTCTGTGAGTGAATTGCGAGGAAGTCTCAGTCGGGAGCCCCCTCTCTATGGGGCCCGCACTTCATGTTCGAATCCGAGGCGGGTCACCGGCCTCTTGTAACTGTCGTCTCGTTTGGGCTCCTGAGGCCTAAATGTGGAGGAAGTGTCAGGCGGGAGCCTCGTCTGTGAGTGAATTGCGAGGAAGTGTCAGGCGGGAGCCCCGTCCCTGTGGGGCCATGTCTTCATGTTCGAATTCGAGGCGGGTCATCGGCCTCCTGTAACCGTCGTCTCTTTGGGGCTCCTGAGGCCTGAATATGGAGGAAGTATCAGGCGGGAGCCTCGTCTGTGAGTGCATTGCGAGGAAGTCTCAGGCGGGAGCCCCCTCCCTATCGGGCCCGCACCTCACGTGCTTTCTCGGGGTCGTCCTCTGGCGCGCGCTATCTTTGGGTCGTCCTCCGGCGCGTAGCCGCTGGGACGCACGTCGTGCGTTTCCTCTGGGTCGTGTTCCGCACGAGGAAGAGGAGGAGGAGGAGGAGGAGGAGGAGGAGGAGGAGGAGGAGGGGGGGAGGAGGAGAGTTGGAGGAGGAGGAGGAGGAGAGGAGGAGGAGGAGGAGGAGGGGGAGGAAGATGGAGACGAGGAGGAGGAGGATGAGGAGGCAGGACGAGAAACAGAAGGAGCTCTTTCCAAGCTCTTTCGAGCCGCCACGTCGTGGCTCGCCCGCGCGGGCGCGCCGTCGGCGCGCGCGCGCTGGTCAGCGCTGCCCCCAGCGCCGCTCGGCCGTCCTCGGCCGCTCCTCTCGGCGGCTCCGCAGCTTTGTCCTTCTGCTGCGGGGCGGGGAGGACCACTCCTTCTGCCATCAGCTCCTTGTCGCGTGGCCCTGTGATCCCGCCCTGCAGGCCGTTCTCCTCCGCCTCCGTCCAGCAGCCGCCGAAGTTCGCCCAGCGCCAGGAGCGGGCCGACGGCCGCCGCTCTGGTCGGCCTGGCCTCGGGCGGCGGGCGAGCAGCTCTCCTCCTCTCAGCCTCCAGCAGCGCTCGCGAGGCCTCGCGTTGCGCTGCCTCTTCCTCGGCTGCGTCATCTGCGGCAGCTGGGTGTGCTGGAGTTGGTGCTGGCGTCGGTACTGGAGCGGCGGCGGCGGTCGCGTCCAGAAGCCTCCTCACCACTGGTTCTTCATCTCTGCGTCGTTCGCTTTCCGACCTTTCAGGTCTCCTCTCTGTCTCCGCCCTGCGCCTGGCCAGCTCGGCCCTCTCCCCAATATCCCGCCTCGCGGGGCCCCTGGCCGCACCTGGGGCACTTAGAGGTGGGGGAGGGCCTTGCTCGCCTGCCTCTGTCTCTGCCTCTGCGCCAGCGCTGTCGCCTCGGCGCCTCACTCGCTGGCGGCGGGGTGGCTCTTCCTGTTTATTTCGCCAGGAAACACCACTTGTGCCCCCCGCCGCATCGGACTCCGTGATCTGGCTGCCGCTGGCTGCCTCCTGCTGCTTTGCCGCCGTGGCGCTTCGCGCTCTCGCTGCAGCCTCCTCCTTCTCCGCCCTGCGCCTGGCCAGCTCGGCCTTCCACCCATTATCCCGCCACGCGGGGCCCCTGGCCACTCCTGGGGCGATCAGAGGTGGGGGAAGGTCTGGCTCGCCTGGCTCAGCCTCTGCCTCTGCACTCGCAGCGTCGCCTCGGCACTTCACCCGCAAGCGACGGGGTGGCTCTTCCTGATTATTTCGCAAGGAAACACCACTTGTGCCCCCCGCCGCGTCGACCTCCGTGCTCTGGCTGCTGCTGGCCTCCTCCAGCTCCTCCGCTTGGGGCTCCTCCTCCGTGTACTCCTCGGCGGGCATGTCGCAAGTGCCTCCCTGCCGCTTGCTTCAGCCAGCACTGGAGCCTGTAGTGCCCGCTGTCGCACGCCGTGTGTCCGCAGCAGGGCTCCTGCAGCTTCTTGGCGATCAGCTCGGTGGTGGCTCCTCCGCAATTCTCGCAGAACCATCGGTTGTGCCTCCTGAGCCGCCTCAGCTTGTGCGTGTGGTGCGACTCGACCCCGTACTTCGTGACCGTGAGTGCCGTCGGGGGCGGAGGTCCGCTGCAGGTCTGCGTCAGCCATCCGTGGATGTTCTTCGCCGTGGTAGTGTTGCTGACCGACTCCCAGCAGCAGAGGCATGTCCAGCCCGTGCCCCGACGGTCCCGCTTCAGGACATGTTGCGAAGCGGGCCTTCGCTGGGGGTTGTCGCCGAGCAGGTCCTTCTTCCTCAGCGTCTCCTGCCTCCTCCGCTTGGCCTGGGCTCGTCGTGCCTCACGCATCTCCTTTCCCTCTGGCGGCCTTCTGGTGAGTGCGTCCTTCGTGGTGGCTGCGATCCTCTGCCTGACCAAGTGCGCCGTCGCCCTCACCCACTCGTAGCAGCTCATCTCGGTGTCGCTGATCGCGTGGGTCTTGGCGCCTGCCGCTGCGTACTCGTCCGCCGCCTTGTTGCCTGCCCAGACTCGCCGTGTGATGCCTTTCTCTCTGGCCTCCAGCTCCGTCATGTGGCTGTTGAGGTGGTGCACGCTGATGTCGCTGCGGTCGCCACCTCTCTTGCGTATCGCCTCTCCGAGCTGGTGCCACAGGTCGCCGTTGATGCAGCCGAGCCCCTTGGTCTCCTCGCGTCTTGCAGCCCAGCCTGTGCACGTGACCTCGCTGCCCGTCCAGAAGCTGACCTTGCCCTCTGTCGAGTTGACGAAGCTGATCAGGCTGAAGAGCTCCGCTCTATTGTTGGTCTGTCTTGGTCCTGGCAGCGGGCCGAAACGGGCGCCCGCTATCCCGCCGGTGTCTTCACCTTCGTGCAGTAGCACCCAGCCCCAGCCGCATCTGCAGTACCTCTCATCAGCGCTGTACTCGCCTCCTGAGCCGTCACCGCAGCCTGTGAGCTCGCCTCCTTCACTTGCGCGCAGCCTGTCTGGGGTGATGCAGGCGCCCGTGGTGTGCTCGATGTGCTCGGTGTCGCACTTCGGGGGCGTGGACCACTTCTTCGGTGTGATGCCCCTCAGCCAGAACGCGGGGTTCTTCTTGGCTCCGACGTGCGCCCTTCTCGCCAGGCCCTCGGTCTTGCGGATGGTCTCGCAGTCTTCCCTGGCGGCGCAGTCGCCCCAGATCTTGTACTCGTCGTCCTCGGGCCTCCCGCATTCGCACATGACCTCCTCGCCGCCGAAGGTCTCGTGTTTCCGTCTTCGTGTCCAGGTACCTGCGCACGCCGCTGTGAGGAGCGCGCCGTAGGTGCCGTGGTGTTCTTTCTTCGCGAGCTGCCCGAGGTGCTTCTTGAGGTCCGTCACGTCCGCGCCGTGTTGTAGCCCTCCTCCGTTGTGGTGCTGTGCGGCTCTCTCCAACAGCTGGGGTCCTGGATGTCTTGCAGGAACGCGTCCATTATCTCCGAGTAGTCGCCGCCCTGGTCCTCGGTGCTAAACTTCCAGTAGTCGCCGTTCCTGTCGATCCAGATGTCTGGCCCTCTGGAGTCCCGTAGATCTTCGGCCACGCACGCTTGACCTGCTCCCTGATGTCGGGGCTCCTGGCCCAGACCTCGAACCAAGTCTTCAGCTGCGCCGTCACCGACGTGATCGCGGGGTCTGCCCCCTCCAGCGCCAGGAACGTGGTGATGTACCTGCCTGGCCACGGGCGCCTAAGCGCCTGCGCATACCTGCGCCGCGCTGTCTGCCTCGCCCACGGGACCATGCCGTGCACCGTCGTGCCGTACATGTAGGATGCGACTGCGCCTTGGTGAAGTACGCCTCTCCTCCTTCTCAGCTGCAGCCTCCTCAGCTTCAGGCCCACTGCGCCACAGCGTGTGAACGCGCTCTGCGTCCGCTTCCTGTGTGTGTGGCCCTCCTCAGCGTGCCCTTCGCGCCTCTGTCGATGCCTAGGTCCCTGCCCTCCGTGACGGCCTGGACCGAGATGTGCTTTGCTCGCAGCGCTTTCTGGACCCTCTTGGTGGTGCGGAAGCTGGAGCTGAAGATGACCGTCTTGTCCGCCAGCGAGAGCCCTTGGCCTTGGAGTCCGTCTCGGAGCCCCTCTGTGACTGCTGTTAGCTCTTTCTCGACTGCCTCTGCGCTGCCCATGATGCGGATGCTGATGTCGTCGAACCAGGCCCTCGGCATCGGCTTGGGCAGCGCCTGCGAGGCCTCTAGCAACCTCCCGAGGATGGAGTA